TACCGGACAACTTGGGGACCAAATTAAGGAGTGTGGAAAGAAGCCGACCTTTCCACGGAGTCAACGTCCTCTCCCGACACCAGCCCACAACGACTACCCGCTCCCCAGGAAGACGTCGGTGGAGCTGAAGCAGCTCAAGAGGAAGCTGGGGGTCTACAAGAAGCTGCAAAAACCCCGAACTCCTTCTACGGATGCATCCAGTTCTTCGGCATCAATGACGCGCACAGTCGTCAAGAAACTCCGGGCCCTGGAGAAGAGCCGTTCTCCAAGCAGCCTCGGCCAGCTGCTAGCTCAGGAGCAGATAGCAACGAAAAGGTGTGTACGGATTATTGGGATGTACCCTATGACCCATTAATGAGACTATCTTTGGGTACTCTGAGCAACGCCGCCTCTCGTGCTCGAGGTCATCTGCAAAGGACGACGCCTCCAAGCACTCGTGGTGTTACAGGATCGAATGTCCCGAGGAAAGGTTTGCTCAATGTTGCACTATCAATCAGTACAAGGTGCTTTTATACTTCCAGAGTACATAAGGTAACCAGGCTTATCCTATCCAAAGGAAATAGACCCTTCTAGAAATAGAATCACCATGCGTATAGCCACGCAAGGCTATTGGCTTTAAGGGATTACGGCAGGATTACGCTAGATATAGCGCGCCAGTACATCCCGAGCCTGGTCGGTGATATAATTATAATAATAGGATAAACCCAAGGATAATGGAAAATGAGGAATAGGAAACCAAATGAGATGAGATAAAGACCAAATGAATCAGGAGTGAAAGAGGAATGAAATAGAAATGAAATATGGAAAGGGGAAACTAGTGTAACGGGGTCGTACTCTCACACTTCCCCCCCTCAAAGCTGGGTGGTAGACGTAACACCCTGCTTGACAAGGTAGTCACGAAGAGGACGACGGGCGTTACCCATGTCGAGTTCAGAGACGCAGCCTCAGAAGTATCATAACCCTTCCAGCAAAGAAGAAGCTCCAGAGTGCCAGTCTGACGATGACGGTGTCCAAGTACGTAGTTGTCACATGGCGTGGATGAACACCGGCGGCGACGGTGGTTGGCATTTGGTGTAGAGCATGTTTGGTCTTGATAGGGTTTAAGAAGCTGGTATGGAAGGCGGTATGGATCTTCTAAGTGGCTGGTAGGCGGAAGCGGAAGTTGACTGAAGTGGCCCTTGCTTCAACGATGATAGACCCGCAGAAGCAATGTTGAAGCTTGGATGGAAGTTGGCTGATGTCGAGATTATGGTGTGGATGACTGTAGTGATAAGGGGTCAAGTGCTTGTGCTGATGTTGGATGTCCAAGAGGGCGCTTGTGTGGTCGATGTACAAGATGGTGGACGATGGCGATGAAATCGGAAGCCAGTTGGACTGTGGCTGGTATGGTTAGCTGTTGTGGTGTGAGCGGGTTGCGTCTGTAGGTGGTACGCGGATGGCGTTGATCGTGATCGAGATGCTGTAGCGGAAGAGTAGATGTACTGTCCTTTCGGTGGGTGCTCTAGCTGGCACACTGTAGCATGCGTTGAGTCTCGGGTAGCACATCCTGATGTTACTCGCATCCCGTCCACGTATGAAGACGATCAAGTGTTGGTGGTGTTGCAGTCGTGTCATAGTCCTGCTTCTGTAGCAGCGTTGTATCAGATACATGCACCTTCTGTCGAATGATAGTCCATGCCGTAGTGTTGTCGCGAGTCGTACCCACTCAGCATTATAGTGCTGCGGGAATGGAGAGCAGAATCACAAGTAGTAACCCTGTCCACCACGCGGTCTGCTACTCACATTGCCTTGAGTACAACAACGCATGCGAAGTGCTGCTCAGCGTATCCCTTGTGTTCAAAACCATGCGAGGGGTTGGAACCATAAACGCGGAGCTGGTAACTTCCAGAATCAGCGCCAAGTAGTTTCCCTCGGTGGTTGCTCGAGCAAGGAATTTGTGCTGCGTAGATATCCCACAGTGATGGGTTAGGATATTTGGGAATATTATGGGTATTCCCAAGTAATCCTTTCCCACTTCCAAATGAGTATTGCTGACAGCCAATCCAGTATGACCTTATGCACGTCCAGTTTAGCACGGAGGCCATCGGTAGGCATCGGTGTCTGGCGCACATATTGGGATAGGTCTTCTGGTGCCATCATGCGTTGTCTGTTGCTGTCCTTGAAGTAGCATTGATGTCGAAGATGTCTCAGCTACCCAGCATCAGTGTTGAAGTCTGCTCCATTTCGGCAAACAGGGGTGTTGTTGGAGATACGCGGAGTCCACTGTCCGGAGTGGCGTCGGCGCTCCATTTTACGCCTATCTGCTTCCGTGGAGTTGTTGCTGGTGATGGATTGGTTGCGACGCAGGTTTTATGACTTTAAGGAAAGCCATAGGCCATGAGGACTGTATACCGGTAGAGTACCGTGGTCCTCCCATCCTCATAAGAGCAAATATCTTCCGCTCTTGAGGGTGTATGGCATTGCCATGTTGTTTCCTCGCATAGTGGTATCTCCTCCCCACTAGCTGGAAATCATAGTACTGTGCCTGGCCGGGACTTTACGATCCACTGGAATATAATCCAGCATTATCTCCATTGAGCGGAGAATCATCCATCAGGGTTTGGTTGTGACTGTTGTGTCGAGTCTTCTGCTGTGGCGGCGGCGGCGGTTGCGACGACGGCGACGGCGGCAGCTGCTACAGAGAATTCTCTCAACTCGTACTAGTTGAAGGAGAATCCATCAACTCCCCCTTCCAGTAGAGTGTTCCTGATGGGTGTAACAGGCGTAACTACCAGGAACACGTGCATTTTGGTACACATGTGTTGCTCCATTGCTGCCGGTGATTGTTTCATTTGAGGGTATGAAGAGAAATTTGCTTCTCCCCTCAATGTATCCACGGGTAGCAATTCCTGGTATGCTCATCCGTGCCTCCGATGTACGGTCGGTAGAGCGCGTGATCGTGTTGTAGTAGTCCGCATCTCCCTCATTTGTTGACACCTCGTGTTGCTTGACGTTCTCCTGCATCGTCGAAGTTACGCTGGTGCTTGTAACGCTTCGGCTTCTGGTAGAATCGCCTCCAATGCATGTGCCGTAGGGTCGCTAGTGAATGAGTACTTGCCGGATTAGAGGTTAATTACTCCTCAATCTGTCAAGCATCGTGACGTGCACGGAATTTTCTTCCACACAGGTCATTAACACCTGGAATCGCGACGCATGATTGGTGTGTCGCCTCGTGAGGTCGATGTTGAGACTGCTCCAATCAATCACCTCGGATGGCTGAGATTCTTGATGAAGACGAATCGGTCAGCTCCTGTTACAAAGTAGTGTCTCGCTGGCCTTGACGAGACAGGTTCACTGCGTCGTCGTTGCGTGCGAAATCTGCTCCTTCGCAGCAACTTGAACTTGGGAGCATTGCAAGAGAAAACAGCTACTTCTCTGCAATCCCATAGGTTGTCGATCAATTTGTATGAAGAAGTGTCTCATGGATGGAGAACATGTCCTCACGCAGCTCCATTGTTTTTCCTGGGTGAAGATCCCGTCGTGTTGATGTCGATCAATTTTTAACGAAGATGACTTCGTCAAAATAAATCGATCGTTATCGACTATGGTTAGAAGATGCGTCGATTGTGCAGTCGCTGGTCACGAATATTGTCTCCATGATGATGATTTCCCATAGTGTTGTCTCTGCTGCATTCGTGCCGTTGATTCCACACCGATCCGACGATCCACGTTCTCGTGTCATTTTTCTGCTTGCAGCTATTACCAAGTAGGTAATACTGTGGTAGATTTCTGACTCCGCAGATGATTTGCGCGCCAAATTCGTCACCAAATGAAGGAATTCGAATTTGGTTGTCAACGATGTTGAAGGCGGCTGATTTCTGGTTCTGCGCGTCATTCTCCCTTCGTGCTGAACTCGCGCTCCATCTCGTCCGTTGAAGCAGAAGTCGATCCGACGGTCCAAACTCCAAGCGATCTGAAGATGATTCTGAGTCGCGTTCAGCAGCTTCTGGAGCCCGGGTCAACTCGTTTCCTGCAGCAATTCTCGGTCGTCGATGTCGGCTGTCGAACGATCGGACGCTCTGAAGAATTTCGCGGCTTCCAGGTCCCGTTCCCATTCGCGCCGAAACTCGAACTCGCTCAGCAGGATTTCGTTTTCGCCTCGGTCGATCTGAAGCGTCGAATCCCCATCGGACGGATGTCGTTGGTCGCAGCTGTGCAGATTTCCGCGCAACTCTGAGTGTCGTGGCGAGTTGCGAACTTCTCCGAATGTCGCAGGGAGTGTTCCGCCGGAACTGACGCACGCGCCAGGTCGAGGCCGTTTGCCCCCGCGAAAAATCGGCACCGTCGATGCAGTCCATCGAACGGTTGGCGAGGCATCTCGCCTTCGAAGGGGACCCCAGGTGCAACTGCGAGAGGAACGTCGAAACTTAAATGAAAGTGCATTGTACTTACAGGAATTGAAGTTTCGACTCCATCCTCCGCGTGCTCCTGGGGGCCCAGCGGTTAAGCGTTGAGCTGAAACCTTGGCTCTGATACCAAGTGTCACAGGATCGAATGTCCCGAGGAAAGGTTTGCTCAATGTTGCACTATCAATCAGTACAAGGTGCTTTTATACTTCCAGAGTACATAAGGTAACCAGGCTTATCCTATCCAAAGGAAATAGACCCTTCTAGAAATAGAATCACCATGCGTATAGCCACGCAAGGCTATTGGCTTTAAGGGATTACGGCAGGATTACGCTAGATATAGCGCGCCAGTACATCCCGAGCCTGGTCGGTGATATAATTATAATAATAGGATAAACCCAAGGATAATGGAAAATGAGGAATAGGAAACCAAATGAGATGAGATAAAGACCAAATGAATCAGGAGTGAAAGAGGAATGAAATAGAAATGAAATATGGAAAGGGGAAACTAGTGTAACGGGGTCGTACTCTCACACGTGGACAGCGGAGCGTCACACACCGTCTGCGACAAGGCAATGATCGACCGACTCCGGGAAGAGTACAAGCCTTCAGGATTCTCTGCAACGATGGTGGACGGCAGCAAGTTACCAGTACACGGCGAAGCAGTGCTACATCTACAAATTGGACCACTGCGCTGGAGACCTGCACTCCCCATCACCAACATCAAAGGGCTTGACTTGATCTTCGGGCGAGACTTCCTGAGGAGATTCAACCCCGAAATCAACTGGGTGAACCGCACCGCAAGCATCTACAACAATGGACGGAGAGTACAGCTACCCAACTGGGACGACACTGGAGATATCCCAGTGGAGACACTCGCACGATTCGAGAAGGATGTGAAGCGGACCGACACCGGGTTCCTGGCGATAGCAACAGAGGTGGAGAATGACGGAGAGAAAGCCTCGGAAACTCCAGAAAAAATCAAGGAATTACTGAAGGAGTTCCAAGACATTCTTCCTGACGATCTTCCGGACGAGCTACCGCCATACCGAACGCATCAACACGAGATCGTGGAGGAACCGGGTTCGAAGCCGACCTTCCGAGCACCATATCGGCTCAGCCCTACGGAGCTGACTGACATGAAAAAACAGATCGAGTATCTTCTAGCCAAAGGACTCATCCGCCCATCTACTTCACTGTACGGTGCCCCAGTACTCTTCACACCGAAACCGGACGGAAGCCTGCGCATGTGCATCGACTACCGAGCTCTTAACAAGCAGACCATCAAGAACAAATATCCGATACCGCGAATCGATGACCTGCTTGACCAGCTTCGGGGAGCTACGGTATTTTCCAAACTGGATCTGCGGTCCGGATACTGGCAGATACGGATGGCGGACAACTCTATCCACAAAACTGCTTTCCGAACTCGGTACGGATCGTATGAGTATTTGGTCATGCCGTTCGGACTCACCAACGCGCCGGCAACGTTCCAAGCCGAAATGAACCACATTCTACGATCACTTTTGGACGAATGCGTGGTGGTGTACCTGGACGACATACTCATCTACTCGCGCGACATGAAGCAGCACGTCGATCACCTGCGACGCGTCTTCGAAATTCTTCGACGAGAACGATTCTACGTCAAACTATCCAAGAGCGAATTCGCCCTCGAAAAGGTCCAGTTCCTAGGACACCTGGTGAGCGCTCAAGGAGTTCACGTCGACCCCAAGAAAATCGAAGCCGTACGTACGTGGAAGACACCCGAGAACGTGAAGGAGTTGCAGCAGTTCCTAGGCTTCGCTAATTACTACAACAGGTTCGTGCCACAATATGCGAAAATCGCAGCACCACTCACGAATCTGCTGAAGAAGAACACGCCCTACAAATGGGAACCAAAGCACCAGGAAGCCGTGGAGCAGCTGAAACAAGCACTAACATCCGCACCGGTGCTCATCTTGCCAGATCCCGAACGTGACTACGTCATTGAAGCAGATGCCAGTGATCAGGCCGTGGGTGCAGTCTTGATGCAAGACCAAGGGAATGGACTGCAACCCATTGCCTACCTCAGCAAGAAACTGCACGGGGCAGAACTCAACTACCCGATACACGACAAAGAGGCCCTTGCCATTGTCATCGCCTTCAAAGCGTGGAGATGTTATCTCGAAGGACGCAGAACAACCGTCTACACCGACCACTGCAGCCTGAAATATTTGAAGACACAACCCAACCTTTCCAGGCGGCAGGTCCGGTGGATCGACTTCCTCGAGACACACTTCCACTACGACATCGTGTACAAGCCCGGCCACAAGAACAAAGCAGACGCGCTCAGCCGGCCTGCACACGTTGCCGCGATTCAGGTCGAAGGGATGAATCCACTACTCAAGGGACTCTTCACCCACGGGTACGCCATCGACCCCGAAATTTCCTTGGCAGAAAAGCGACATCTGCTACAGTGGGACAGTGACATCGCGTACCGGAAAGGATCAACAAAAATCTGGGTACCCAATTACCCTCCTTTGCGCCAGTTACTACTCGAAGAATACCACGACGTCCCGTACGCCGGACACTTCGGTAGCAACAAGACGCTCACCGGTATCGCCAAACACTACTACTGGCCCCATATGGCAGACGACGTCCAGAAATTCGTCACCTCGTGTGATACATGTCAGCGGATGAAGAGCAGCAAGCAGAAAAAGGCGGGACTACTGCAGCCTCTTCCTGTCCCAGAACAACCATGGCAAGTGGTTAGCCGGGACTTCATCACCGAGTTACCACCTACCTCCAGCGGTCATGACGCCATCCTTGTCGTCATTGACAAGTTCTCCAAAATGGGACACTTCATCCCGACACACACGACGGCACGCACCGAGGAGACAGCACAGCTCTTCGTTCGTCACATCATCTCACAGCATGGCATCCCAACCACACTCATTTCCGACCGAGACCCCAAGTTCACTAGCAAGTTCTGGAAGGAACTTATGTCTCTGCTCGGCACCAAACTCGCCATGTCCTCCGCATACCATCCGCAGACAGACGGACAGACCGAGCGCCTCAACCAAATTGTTGAGCAACTCCTCCGAGCAGCCTGCAAGGACGACATTTCCAAATGGGACTTGCACCTGCCCGTACTCGAGTTTGCTTACAACAATGCCACACATGCCGCTACTGGACAGACGCCGTTCTTCCTCTGCTACGGACGCCACCCACTCACACCACAAAAACCGACAGCATCAGCAACAGTACAACCTGCACACGACTTCATCACAACCATGCATCAGCTTTGGGATCGGACCCACAAGCGCCTCCTCGATATTCAACAGCAACAGAAGCGCCAAGCCGATCGCCATCGCAACGATCACACCATCACGGTGGGAGACCAGGTGCTTCTTGACACCCGCAACCTGGACATCAGCCACCTCCCATCTAAACTTCGACCTCGCTTCTGCGGACCTTTTCTCGTTGAAGCACAAGTCACTCCTGTTACCTTCCGCTTACGCCTGCCAGCTACCTGGAAGATTCACAACGCCTTCCACGTCCAACTTCTGAAGTCCTATCGGGACCCGAACACAATTTTCGTCGGACGCCAGCCGCCGCCGCCGCCGCCCGTCCTCGTCCGGAACGAACCCGAGTACGAGGTCGAGTCCGTGCTCGCACACCGCCGTCGTCGGAATGGCACCGTGGAGCTTCTCATCCGTTGGAAGGGTTATGATCCTTCTGAGGACAGCTGGGTCTCTGAGACCGACATGGGTAACGCCCGTCGTCCTCTGCATGACTACCTTGTCAAGCAGGGTGTTACTTCTACCACCCAGCTTTGAGGGGGGGAAGTGTGAGAGTACGACCCCGTTACACCACTTGGCCTTTTCCCTATTTCCTTTTCCTTCCATTTCTCTTTACCGCATCTCATTTGGTTTCCTATTCTTCCTTTCCCATTAACCTTTGGTTTATCCTGCTATTATAATTATATCACCGACCAGGCATGGAATGTTCTAGACACGCTATCTAGCGTAATCCTGTCGTAATCTCTTAAAGCCAATAGCCTCGCGTGGCTATACGCAGGGTGATTCTATCTTCTAGAAGGGTCTATTCCCTTAGGATAAGATAAACCTGGTTACCTGATGTATTCTGGAAGTATAAAAGCGCCTTGTACCAATCGATAGTGCAACCTTTCCTCGACACATTCGATCCTGTGACAGTTCACGTCGACCCCAAGAAAATCGAAGCCGTACGTACGTGGAAGACACCCGAGAACGTGAAGGAGTTGCAGCAGTTCCTAGGCTTCGCTAATTACTACAACAGGTTCGTGCCACAATATGCGAAAATCGCAGCACCACTCACGAATCTGCTGAAGAAGAACACGCCCTACAAATGGGAACCAAAGCACCAGGAAGCCGTGGAGCAGCTGAAACAAGCACTAACATCCGCACCGGTGCTCATCTTGCCAGATCCCGAACGTGACTACGTCATTGAAGCAGACGCCAGTGATCAGGCCGTGGGAGCAGTCTTGATGCAAGACCAAGGGAATGGACTACAACCCATTGCCTACCTCAGCAAGAAACTGCACGGGGCAGAACTCAACTACCCGATACACGACAAAGAGGCCCTTGCCATTGTCATCGCCTTCAAAGCGTGGAGATGCTATCTCGAAGGACGAAGAACAACCGTCTACACCGACCACTGCAGCCTGAAATATTTGAAGACACAACCCAACCTTTCCAGGCGGCAGGTCCGGTGGATCGACTTCCTCGAGACACACTTCCACTACGACATCGTGTACAAGCCCGGCCACAAGAACAAAGCAGACGCGCTCAGCCGGCCTGCACACGTTGCCGCGATTCAGGTCGAAGGGATGAATCCACTACTCAAGGGACTCTTCACCCACGGGTACGCCATCGACCCCGAAATTTCCTTGGCAGAAAAGCGACATCTGCTACAGTGGGACAGTGACATCGCGTACCGGAAAGGATCAACAAAAATCTGGGTACCCAATTACCCTCCTTTGCGCCAGTTACTACTCGAAGAATACCACGACGTCCTGTACGCCGGACACTTCGGTAGCAACAAGACGCTCACCGGTATCGCCAAACACTACTACTGGCCCCATATGGCAGACGACGTCCAGAAATTCGTCACCTCGTGTGATACATGTCAACGGATGAAGAGCAGCAAGCAGAAAAAGGCGGGACTACTGCAGCCTCTTCCTGTCCCAGAACAACCATGGCAAGTGGTTAGCCTAGACTTCATCACCGGGTTACCACCTACCTCCAGCGGTCATGACGCCATCCTTGTCGTCATTGACAAGTTCTCCAAAATGGGACACTTCATCCCGACACACACGACGGCACGCACCGAGGAGACAGCACAGCTCTTCGTTCGTCACATCATCTCACAGCATGGCATCCCAACTACACTCATCTCCGACCGAGACCCCAAGTTCACTAGCAAGTTCTAGAAGGAACTTATGTCTCTGCTCGGCACCAAACTCGCCATGTCCTCCGCATACCATCCGCAGACAGACGGACAGACCGAGCGCCTCAACCAAATTGTTGAGCAACTCCTCCGAGCAGCCTGCAAGGACGACATTTCCAAATGGGACTTGCACCTGCCCGTACTCGAGTTTGCTTACAACAATGCCACACATGCCGCTACTGGACAGACGCCGTTCTTCCTCTGCTACGGACGCCACCCACTCACACCACAGAAACCGACAACACCAGCAACAGTTCAACCTGCACATGACTTCATCACAACCATGCATCAGCTTCGGGATCGGACCCATAAGCGCCTCCTTGACATTCAACAGCAACAGAAGCGCCAGGCCGATCGCCATCGCAACGACCACACCATTTCCGTGGGAGGCCAGGTTCTTCTTGACACCCGCAACCTGGATATCAGCCATCTCCCATCTAAACTTCGACCTCGCTTCTACGGGCCTTTTCTCGTTGAAGCACAGGTCACTCCTGTTACCTTCCGCTTACGCCTGCCAGCTACCTGGAAGATTCACAACGCCTTCCACGTCCAACTTCTGAAGCCCTATCGGGACCCGAACACAATTTTCGTCGGACGCCAGCCGCCGCCGCCGCCGCCCGTCCTCATCCGGAACGAACCCGAGTACGAGGTCGAGTCCGTGCTCGCACACCGCCGTCGTCGGAATGGCACCGTGGAGCTTCTCATCCGTTGGAAGGGTTATGATCCTTCTGAGGACAGCTGGGTCTCTGAGACCAACATGGGTAACGCCCGTCGTCCTCTGCATGACTACCTTGTCAAGCAGGGTGTTACTTCTACCACCCAGCTTTGAGGGGGGGAAGTGTGAGAGTACGACACCGTTACACCACTTGGCCTTTTCCATATTTCATCTTCATTTCATTCCTCTTTTTATCTCATCTCCTTTTGCCTCATATTCCCCTTTTTCCATTATCCTTTGGTTTCTTCCCTTATTATAATTATATCACCGACCAAGCATGGAATGTTCTAGACACGCTATCTAGCGTAATCCTGTCGTAATCTCTTAAAGCCAATAGCCTCGCGTGGCTATACGCAGGGTGATTCTATCTTCTGGAAGGGTCTATTCCCTTAGGATAAGATAAACCTGGTTACCTGATGTATTCTGGAAGTATAAAAGCGCCTTGTACCGATCGATAGTGCAACCTTTCCTCGACACATTCGATCCTGTGACACGCGGTAACCCGTGTAAGCGGAAAACGTGTGCTACAAACAACTTGGCCATACCTTCCGCAGATACGTCGGTTGTAGTAGCAACGAAGTGCACCATTTTGGTCAAATCGATCCACAAAGACCAGGATCGCAGTATGACCATTGCGTGTTTTGGGGAGGTCTGTGATGAAATCCAATGAGACACTCTCCCAGGGTTCGTTTGGAATCTCCAGTGGTTGAAGCAAACCACAGGGCGTTTTTGTGTCAGACTTGTTGCGTGCACATGCATTACAATGCGACACGAATTGTTGGACCTCGGTCCCCAATCCAGGCCACCAGTACACATCACTTAAGGCCCACCGGGTTTTCTTGATACCCAGGTGCCCTCCGTACTTGGTGCTATGCACTTCCACAGACAGCAGCAGCTTGAGAGCAGTTGGGTGATTGGGGGGTGTGGTGGGGGAACAAGGTGGAAACGTACCTTTTTTGCACCTTGCATGGCAGGGTGTTGGTGGGTTTGTGTGGTTGACGGTGGAGGAGGTTGGGAGGGAAAAGGGAATTGCTGCTATGTTACTGTGCATCATTGACGATCCTGATGGATTGCTCCAGGCTGACTGCTCCTGACGGATGGCTCCGGGCCTGAGCACTCCTAACGGATTGCTCCAGGTTGAGGGCTCCTGACGGATGGCTGCTGGCCTGAGTACTCTTGACGGATGGCTCCAGGCCTGAGCGCTCCTGACGGATGGCTCCAGATCTGATCGCTCCTCACAGCTGGCTCCAAGTCTGATCGCTCCTCACGGATGGCTCCTGGGGTGAGTGCTCCTCACAGATGGCTCCTAGCCTGAGTGCTCCTGACGGATGGCTCCTGGCCTGAGCGCTCCTGACGGATGGTTCCTGGCCTAGCACTCCTGACTGATGGCTCTAAGCCTGAGCGCTCCTAGTAGATGGCTCCTGGTCTGAGCGCTCCTGGCAGATGGCTCCAGGTCTGAGCACTCCTGACGGATGGCTCCAGGCTAAGCGCTCCTTATGAATGGCTCCTGGCCTGAGCGCTCTTGAAGGATGGTTCCTCGCCTGAGCGCTCCTGTCGGACGGCTCCAGACCTAAGCGCTCCTAGCGGATGGCTCCAGGCCTGAGCGCTCTTGACTGATGGCTCCAGACTGAGCGCTCCTGACGGATGGCTCCAGGCCTTAGCGCTCCTGATGGATGGCTCCTAGCCTAATCGCTCCTGACAGATGGCTCTAGGCTTGAGCGCTCCTAACGGATGGCTCCAGGCCTGAGCGCTCCTCATGGATGGCTCCAGGTCTGAGCGCTCCTGATGGATGGCTCCGAGCTGAGCGCTCCTGACGGATGGCTCCAGGCCTGAGCGCTCTTGACGGATGGCTCCAGGCTGAGTGCTCCTGAAGGATGGCTCCAGGCCTAAGTGCTCCTGACGGTGGCTGTTGGCCTGAGCGCTCCTAACGGATGGCTCCTGGCTTGAGTGCTCCTGCCGGATGGCTCCAGACCTGATCGCTCCTCACGCATGGCTCCAAGTCTGATCCCTCCTCACGGATGGCTCCTGGCGTGAGTGCTCCTCATAGATGGCTCCTGGCCTGAGCGCTCCTGACGGATGGCTCCTGGCTTGAGCGCTTCTGACAGATGGCTCCAGACCTAAGTGCTCCTGACGAAGGGCTCCAGGCGTGATCGCTCCTCACGGATGGCTCCTGGCCTGAGCGCTCTTGTCAGATGGCTCCAGGCCTGAGCGCTCCTGATGGATCCTCTAGGATAGTGTGGTGGGGGAGACTATCAGAAAATTTGCTGCTAGGTTATTGGCAGTGTGTCATGAATTTGCATTAATATCATTTTTAGGTACTTTAACAAGCCCAGCGATGTAGGAAGCTATAGCAATACACAGGTCCTATTCTATAGCATTCTGAAGATGATAAAGCAGCACTAAAGCTTGTTGATAAATGGACATTGACATTGGCATTGACTGATGAGTGCACTGAGCTGCATGTTCAACTGCCTGCACTGCAGCACACTGCACGCACTTCTACAGGTTCATTTCTCAGTGCATTGCTCCATAAAATTGCCGCATTTGTGCTATATTCTGATATGCGCCGTTCTCTTATGAGAGGCTGAATCAGATTCAATATTCGTGTTTCTGATTCTGATGTTACACCCCAGGAATACGCCCTTACCATAGAAAGAATGTTGATAGGTGTTGGGCTGAGATAAGCCCGTAGGATCTTTGCAAAGACTAAGTCCCCAGAGAGATGTTGTACTTGCGGAAGCGTGGTGTGAAACTTAATGAACCTCTTGCACTGGTATGTGAGAACAAGAGATTAACACAAGCAACATACATAAATATATAGTTATTTTAGAATACAGAACAGTTACGATAACTACTGTTGCGTTATTGAGTGTATAGCGACTCGATACCTTGCAGTAGCGGTTACTGTGCAGTTGAGCTGCCAAGCAACCTCCACGCGCAACCTCTAGGTGCAACAGCCACGCGTGTAACTGCCACGTGCTTTGATTACATGCACAACTGCCACGTGTAACCTCTGTTGACTCATCGTACTCGTTGTTGACCTCTGTGAGGCAGTAAGACAGCTCGAGTCTCCCCTTCTCGATTTTGTCTTTCACAAAGAAGTAGCGCAGTGCGATGTGCTTCGTGCGGTTTGTGAAACCATTCTTGTTCGCAATTGGAATTGCAGATTGGTTGTCGCAGAAGAAGGAGAAACTGGGTAACGCGGCAAGCTTGGCCTCTTCCATCAGCTCGTGAAGGTATATTCCTTTCTTGGTGGCTGTGCAGAGAGCTAGATACTCTGCTTCAGCAGAGGAGAGAGCATTAAGCTCCTGCTTTCTCGACTGCCAGGAGATAGGCCCGATGGGCTCTAAGCGGTAGACGCAGCCAGTTCACGATGATCTGTTGTCAGAGTCACCGGCGTGATCAGCATCGACGTAGCCGATTAGCTTAGGCGATGCGTTCTTTGTCTTATGATAGATTAGGCCGATCGTTGGCATCGAGACAAAATAGTGGAGCACGCAATTAAGTTCGGCTAGGTGCTCCGCCTCGGGCCGTTTGAGGTGGGTCGCGAGTTGGCTCACCGAGTAGGATGGTCCAGTCGGCAGGTTACAGCGGCGAAGAGAAGACAACCTAGTCTCTGCTGGTAGTCGTGTAGTCTGGCATGTGCGATTATGGTTGAGTCCGTTGTGTGGCTCGGCGCGATGTAGCGATACGGGGTGGAGATCGCAGCCAGGGTGAGGTCGAACCTCTTAGCGATGACGTTGGCGTACTTTGAGGCGCTCAGATAGATCGCCTCGTCTGCGTCCAGCCCGTTCAGGCCGAGGTACTGGCTTAGAGAAGGGGAGACCATGAGCGTGAGGTCCCGCTGTAGCTCCCCTTCAAACCAGGCAGTGATGGCGGCGGTCGAGCCTACGTACAGCAGGTCGTCTACGTAGACGATCAGCAGTACGTAGGCGGCTTCTCGTGTGAGCCGGTACATACCCTGGTCGTGTGGCAGCTGTAAGAACCCGATGCGAATGAGACGCACGTGAAGGTATTGCTGCCAGAGCCGTGGGGCTTGTTTAATCCCGTATAGGAATTTCACAAGCTGGCAGACGAGCGTGGGATCTTCGACGAACCCGTGCGGCTGCTCTACAAAGATCTCTGCGTCGACGGGCGCGTACAGGAACGCATTTGCCACATCGATCTAGCGTAGCGGCAGGCAATGCATGGCGGCGATTGCGAGCAATATTTGCAGGGACGTGTGTCGGCTGACGAGCGCAAAGGTTTCCGTGAAGTCGCGCCCGTATTGCTGGTCAAAGCCCCGAATGACCCAACGTGCTTTGAAGTGCTCGATCGTGCCATCTGCTTTGGTCTTTACTTTGAAGACCCAAAAAGAGAGAAGATTTTTTTGTCGTGTGCTTTTGCGACAGGGACCATTTTCTAGGTGTTGCACTCGTAAAGCGCCTTCAATTCCCTTTTCATTTCTTCGTGCCATTTCTCCCTGTGCTCCCCCCCCCAAGAGCCTGCTTGACGATCGTAGGCTCGAGTGGAGGTGGCGTCGAAGCTCCGTGGACGGTGGCGATGAGGCCGAGAATTTGAGGTCCACTGGGTGTGAAGCGAGGTAAGAGGGGATCCTCGGGATAGACTGCTTCATCTCCCGCTTCTGGATCAGGTACAAATTCAGGCCCGTTACGCTCGGAAACATTTGTGTCGACGGTCTGAGGTGTTACATAACCGTTGTCGGCGAAATGGTAATATGCCTCGACATTCGCGCTTTTGCGTGGATCTTCGTCATCCATTGGGATAGGAACGGAGCAGTACGAGAGAGATCCGGCAGCTTCCGAAGCTCCGTCGACGTTCTGCTCGTCCCGGTCAGTTTCTTCTGCTGATGAGGCAAAGGCTCGACTTCCGTTGAATCCACCAGTGGGGTCCTGGTCGGCTGCGATATTGTCCAGGTAATGCTGCAAGGTGAGTCGTTCGTAGAAAATCACGTCACCTGCTGCCATTATTTCCTTCTCGTTCACGTCGAAGATCGTCCATGCGTTGTTATTCTTTTCGATGCCGAGGTGTAGTCCCCACTTGGCGCGCTGTGAGAATCGTCCGGTGCGTACAGTGTGGGGCTTGTACTGTACCATGCACCCGAAAACTCGTTGTAATTTTGTGCTGCTCAGTTTTCCTGTCCACAGCAGATGCGGTGATGCGTTGTTCGGCAAGGAGGAAGACGACATCAGGTTATGGAGCATAACGGCGTGGTCCATCGCCTCCGGCCACAGTGAGTTTGGCAGGCGCATGCCTCGGATCAGCTTCCTCATCGTCGTCTACAGTGTCCTGTTCATCCGTTCTGCTACACCTTGCTGCTGGTGAGCGTAGGGGAGTGAGATGAGTATTTTGATGCCCCAATCCGCCAGGTACTGCTTGAGGCGGTGTGACTGGAATTCCATCGCCACGTCTGTTCGAAAGCTCTTGAGCTTTAACCCCGAGTCTCTCTCTGCTACCGGGAGCCAAGCGGCGAAGGCGTCAAGGGCTAGGTCGCGGGTTGGTAGATTGACGTGCCAGACGTAACGAGTTGTTGCGTCGATGAACGTCATGACGTAGTCCAGGTGAATGCGCCCTTCTTCCTTGGGTATGTAAAGTATATCGCTGTATACTTTCTCAAGCGAATCATAGATCAAAGCGCTGGGGTTGTGGTGCGACAGGAACGGATGATGTGGTAAGTCCGCTTCCAGGCAGATGAAGCACGTGCTGCGGGGTCGTCGAAGTTCTTGGCCATCCGGTAGGAGAAGGGCGTCCTTGTCTAGAACTCCCGCGCGAATTGTGTTGTATGGTGTTGTGTTGCCAGGGTGTCCAAGCCGTTGATGCCATGTTTCTTTATCTGCACGATGTCCCGCAGCCATCCGATATAGGTCGGGGTTTGAGTAGAAGGCTGCGAAAGTGGCGGCACTTCAGTGGACTTCGCGTGGCGCTGGCGTGAGCTGCTGAGCGGTAGTCAGTGTAGTGTCGACAGCTGGCAGTGGTGGCGGCGCTGTTGACGGACCGGCGACTGGTGAAGGTATATCTGCAGTTGCTTGTTCTTCTGCTGCCGTTTCCACTTCTCCCATGACTGCTAATGCCCGTGTGCGCTCCGTCTGAGGGATGGTGCGTGAGTGCCAGAAGCCACCCAAACTTAAGTCAGGATCAAGATCTGGAGGGTGAGTCCAGGAAGTTAACGAGACGATGGTGTCGCTGTCGGCGGTGCCACGATCGGGAGTGAAGTTTAGGACAAAGACGTTGTTCTTTAGTACAGATTTCCCAATGTAGAGGCCGTCCTTCTCGTGGTACAACTTGAACCTTTGGGTAGTGCTGTCATACTCCAGGTGAACCCTCTTCGCCATCAACTGGCTGACGCTCAGCAAGTTGTAGCCCAAACCTTCTACGATGAGTACTTTCAACATTTATAGCACCACGTTAGTTTCCAGGGATTGTAGCTGAACAACTCCTTGCCTTCGTGTGCGTAGGTGTTGATTGCTGGCGACAGTAATGACGACTTCGCGGCTGAGTTGTTGCTCGCTTTGAATGAAACGATCTGAAGAGCACATGTGCTGCCCGCAGCAGCTGTCCAAGAACCACGTATTTCGACCTGACGGCTCGCTTTGAGCGATGGCGGCGTAAGTCCGATTCGGTTCCAGTTGCTCTCGTCCAGGCGGCATAACTACTTCGTCTGGGTTGTAAGTTGGTGGAGATTCTGTAACATAAGTGTCGGTTCTTGCCATGCAACTGACGATGTTCCTTGTCGCTTGTGCAGGTCGCGGCACGGAGGGCGGCGGGCGCACTTAGGTTGAAGTGACTTGATTTCCCGAACGGCGAATCTGACGCTGTGGGACCTGCTGCTGGTGTTGATTCTAATGAGGGCAGTTGACACACGTATGTCCTGACGTTCCGCAGAGGTGACAGAACGGCGGTACGTAGAGTCTTGCTTGTGGTCCTTGTCAACGATGCGCATAGAATGCAATCTTGGGTAATGCCCTTTTCTTGTGCCGCTCTTCATACAGGTCCATGTCCTGTTGTTCAGCGTAAAGTTCAGTGCAGAGATGCATCTCCGAGATGCGACCGTGAGCATGAAGAAGAGAACGGTTCGTTCGCCACTGAGGACCGAGACCGGCGAGGACGATACGTATCTTCCGACATGCTGCCACCGCAGCGAAGGAGCTTATCGCGGAGATTGCGGCAGCGACTCATATACGCCATAGCTTTCTCGCCGTGCTGCATCTGCGTGGTTGTCAACTGAGCCATGAGGTGACTCTGGTTTACGCTGTCATGCGCTTGATACATGCTCTTCAAGTGGTTGTACGCGAGTGCCGCTGAGTTTCCGTAGCCACAACTAAGTTCTGATGTTCCGTTGTTCTGTTGGTGACAGGTTCCGCAGGAGAATGGTGTACACCATCAGCGACTGATACATGTACTTCTCCTTGTCGCTTGTAGTACCATTGAATGGAAATGGCAGGTTCTCGTCGAAGAATCCGAAGATTTGAGCTCCTTCCATCATGAGCTCGAATTTGAAGGACCAGGTATAGAAGTCCTTGCCGTTGAATGGAAATGATGTTTGCAGCTTGAGGATGTTCACAAACTGAGCTTGTAGCTGAAGTGCATCGTTCGCTGTTGTGCTGTGTGCAGGTGCTGCTGCTGGAAGGCGACTCGGCATAAACGTGAAGGATCCTCGTGAAGCTTGATAGGGGGCGTAAATAGGTTGCTGATTCCCGCGCGCAAATGATGATCAGTCCAGACTCATAAGAGCAACTCCAGTGTTGATGCTTTTGACGTTGTTGTTGTTGCTGTTAACTGACTGCGCAGGTACTGATGGTTGCTGTTGTTCATATATTGACATGAAGGGGAAGAAACGCTCCATCAGGCTTGGGTCGCAGCCGATCGGAGGGACCGCTTGCTCAGTAGATGTTCTTGGGGTTGTTTCTTGCGCAGGCGCCTCTTCATTTTGTAGGCTAGAGACAGGGGGCATACTAGGTGTTGAGCCAGGAGATCCAGTGGAGGATCTCACTTCCTTCTGTGATGGCATATCTTGTTATCCTGATGTGGGCTTATGTGGACTTGTAGAAGAACCGAGAATGCTTGTAACGAACTTAGCAGGAACCTAGTCTTCGACTAGCTCTCATATCATGTTGGGCTGAGATAAAGCCCGTAGGATCTTTGCAAAGACTAAGTCCCCAGAGAGATGTTGTATTTGCGAAAGCGTGGTGTGAAACTTAATGAACCTCTTGCACTAGTATGTGAGGACAAGAGAATTGATTAACACAAACAGCATACATGAATATATAGTTATTCTAGAATACAGGGAAGTTACTACAACTGCTGTTGCGCTATCGAGTGTATAGCGACTCAATACCTTGCAGTAGCAGTCCCTGTG